CGCCCCCTTTGCGGGCCGGAGCGGGGCCTTGCGCCCCGGCAGCGGGGCCCTGAGGCGGGCGGGCCGAGGCGGCGCGGGAGCGGGGCCCGCTGCGGTGGGTCTGTGGAAGGAGCTGGGGGCGGGACGGACGGTTGAAGGGGGCTGCCCGTCGCGGTTGTGAGGGCAGGTTGGCAGGCGGCCGCGGGGCTTGTCGCGGCTGCGACGGGGCTAGGGGTGGAGGGGGAGGCTGCTGCGGGCGGCGGGGAGCCGAGGCGGGTCCCGCGGCCCTTGGGGTTGGGCCCGTTGCGCCCTCCGGGAAGGGGGGGCCCCGTGCGGGGGCTGGAGCTGCCGAGTCGTTCGGCCTCTGCCTGGGATGAAGTACAGGCTGTGATTCAGAGAGCAAGGCTGAGCTCTTGGCCTGGCCTTGGTGGGGCAGGCCCTCGGCAGGGAGCGGGCTGGGACGTGCCCTTGTCACACGCCAGGTGACAGGCTGTGCTTGCTGATTTGGGGCTCTTCTAAGGGTTGTGGCTTCTGTCTGATGTCTTAACTGCACTAACGGTGTTTGGCTGTCGTACACATGTGGCTTAGTGTGACCAGCAGGAGGAGCTTTGCTCCCTCCTAAAGGCAGCTGACCTCGGTATGTCCATAGAGACATGAACCAACCTTGAAAAAGCTCAGAGAATCGATGAGACGGTGTAAGACCTCTCAGCATGGTACGGGAGCAGCCAAGCTAATTTGTTTCCCTGTTTTTTTACCTGTTGCTTGCTGTCTGGTGATGGCATGGCTTAGCCAGCTGACTAGGTGCTGTCTGAGTTTCAGCATACCCTATGGCTGGCATGTAAGAGGTAGGCTAGATTTTGAGCATCAGGTTGTAGACTTTCCTGTACTGAACGTCATCCCTGCTTGTGCTAGTCTCTGTGTCAGGGAATGGGAAATGATTAAATAAGTCTCTGTTAGGCTTAAGAGGACTGGAGTTCCCTGAAATAATGTGTGGAAGATCTTTGCTCAAAACTGGGACAGAGGACACTCAAATGTTTGCATGGCTTGTGAAATAACACCATTTCTAGTTACAGCTGATTCCTGTGAAATAAAGTGCTTTATTACCTCAAGAAGATACTCCATTAAAGAGAGTTGTGAAGAGTTTCATGGGTTCGCTGGAAGTCTTGGCTAAAGTCCACTAGTGGTATAGTTCAGGAAAAAGGGGGTTACAAGTTTTTATTTCATACTTTGGCTCCTCCTGGAGGTAAGTACAATGCTTTTGCTCAGGATATTGTCTCACAATAGCTACATGGGTGTAGTAGTCTGTTTACCCCGGATGCACTTGAATGACGGAGGAAGGATGTCATGAAATGTTCTGTGACACAGTTACAAATTACTTAATCCAAACCTTGCAGCCTTTCAAGATTTGTTGATTCTATGATGTGTGCCACCTTCCATCACTTTAAATCCAGCTCGCTCCATTTAAAGAATCTGTACCAGTTGCTTGTCTTCCCCATTCTCTGTAAAATGTCTGGTGTCCTGGGACAGGAGGTGCTTCTTCCCATCCTAAGTTTTGCCATATTCATCACTGAAGAAAAAGAGTGGAGACAGTATAATGCTTTGTTGCTAACTAAAACTTTTAGTAATAGTTGCATACATCTGAAGAATTTGGAATTACAAGTACAGCCCCCTTTTTCTTTTCTACTTCTGATTCTTCTCTACACAGATACCTTTAGATTAGGTGTGCTGTGGGTGCAAAAAAGGGACAGTGGCATGATGACTTCCGTCACAACGTTTGCCCACAGTAGGCTTTAAGCCTATGCTTGTGTCTGCAGCTGGTGCCAAGTAATGATGGTAAGTGTTGCAGTGGGATAATTGGGGGGGAGCTTGCTTGTCTTTTCTATATCTGGCATAAAACATGAATGTGAAATCTTCATCCAGGATAAGTCTGCTGACCTAATGGCAGTATGCTTTGTTATTTACACTGGTTTAGAAACAGTTGGTGTCACCTGCATTTGATTCCCTCTCTTTCTCCTTTCCCTCCTTGTTTCAGTGCTGCTGCTCTGGGGAGGAGATGAGGATGCATCCTGCTTTACAGTTAACTTTATTCACTGTTTTTACCATGTTTCTTTGTCTGAAGATGTAGATGCCACTGGTGTCTCAGCTAAGAGTTGCTATAGCATATTGAAATGTAGAAAAAAGGAACTGACTTCAGAAACTACCCAAATGAATGCCTGCTGTGAGAGACAAGTAAAATAGTTTTCTGTGAGTGTATAGTTCACTTTCATCAGTTTGGGGGTGTCTGATGCTTCTTAGTGTATGGATCTTGCTCACTGATCACAACTTGTCAGAGATGGTAATGACGAAACCTGTGTTACATGGCTCAAACTTGGATACTCTGTTCACCTGAAAGCGCTAATGTCCCAAGTCTTCTCTGACCCAGCAGGTCTTAATTGCAAGATCTGCAAGGAGCTTACAATCCTGTTGCATAAATAAGTGTTGTGTCAGCATTTCATATGAAAAGACATAAGGTGATGATAGAATTGAAAGCCTGCCTTCGGCGTTTCATAAATACGTGGGTGTATGTTGGTTTAATACTGTGAATGAAAACTTACTCCAGTGTCTATATGGTCCTGAGCCGATGAAGCTGTTATGTTTGAATATACTTGGACTACTACGCTGATATCCTACACGGCAGAAACTATGGGTTGTCTTTGTTACTAAAGTGATTTTGGTCACTGTGGACTCAGGTAAGTAACCACCCACTGTCCTGAAAACCAAGAGAAGCAGTTGGGGGACCCTGCAGGAGGGATGCAGAAGGTAAGGATAAGTAGGAGTGTGTGATGCCTTTGCTCAAAGAGGAAATGGCTTAAATCTAAGTTTAATCTAAGTTCATAGGCAGAAACCTGGCTTCGAATCTCGGCTTTCATTCTGACAAGTTCTTCCTCTTAATGAAAACTTGAGGGGTTTGTGTCCTCTAAATTGAGCTTTCACTGGATAGTATACCAAAACCAGCTCTGCAGTTTGCATGAGAGATACATGAATTTATGAGATTAAGCGTACAAATATGTTGTGTTAACATAGTTTTTAAGGTGTCTGATGTTCTGCTGTCATGGTGTCAACATCCATGTCAGTGCAGCATGGAGAACTGGCAGGATGTTGGGATTCTCAGTTCTTGCAAATTAATTGTCAGGCCTCACATAATTCCTGTATGCAAATTAGTTGGATGAAAAGATTTTCATGTGCACTCAAACAATATGGTTTCTAAGGGTGATTGAGACGATCTATGCTAGTCTTGGCATGTAAGTTTAGTTTTGAAATCCCATTTTCTTAATTACCCAGCTATAAAACAGTTGTCCACAGTCTCCTTGGAGGAAGGAGAGCTGAAGTGTCACTGACCAACTGCTTACTTCAAAGCCTATGGGGGAAGGGTGTAAACTCTAACATCAAAGTTACTGCTTAGATTCTGGAGGCTGGAGAAGCTGCTATGAAGGTTTTTTGTTTGTAATTGTCTCCCATGAAGCTATTTCCCAAAGAGTTACTGGAGCTGCAAGGCGAAAGGTGAGAAGGTGAATTCAGCTGGGTAGAATAGGTAAGTAATTCTATATTGTGCTATTGTTTCCAAGTATCTTAATGGTAACAATACAGAAAAATACATTGTGTTGTCTACTTTGTTCTTGAACAGGGAGAGCTTGGAAAAACAGGTAAGAGTGGAAGGCTTCTCTGTTTTTTTAAGTGTTCTGAATGAAATTATGGGGAGGTGGCTGTTAAACCAGTTTCTGGAAGAACCTAGTATTCCTGTATAGCCAGAAAAGTTTGTAAAGCTTCTGTGGAAGTAATTCTAGTGACTAATTATAAAGTGTCTACTTTTTTTATCTTTCAGCACAAGAGGAGTGCTCTAAGAGCAGTCAAGAACCTCTTCAGGTAGCATGGACATGTTCTTCAACTGAAACATGGCAGCAGTTCAGTAGCAGTTACACAACAGAAAAGGGTGTGCAGGCTACTGAAGTCCCTGGGTTCCTAAGAACTGATACCTGAAAGAAATCATTCTGGTAGAGAGAGAAACTTGGGTTTCTTCCACAACTTTTAACTCCCTTGAATTTGAATGAGAGCTCATCTAATACTGAAACAGGAGATTACTTTTATTGTAGATAACTGGAGAAGGGCACTGGAATAGGGGACTTAAGTCCTAGTCAGGGCACTGTGATGGGCCTTGGAAAAACAGCAGGTAGTTTGAGTACAAGGGACTCTAGTTGTGGGAAGCTCCCTTTTGGGAAGGCGTGCTAGCTGTGGGGGAAACTTGCCAAGTGGAGACTCAGAAGTGTAGTATGTTCTGCTGCTGTTTCTTGGCTGCATATGGACCTCTCTCTTAAGGTGGGGTGGCCTGAGATGACCACTGAAGACTACAGGGTTGTAGGCAGACCCCATTTCTCTTCGCAGCACGTATGCAACTGTCCAGTTTGGAACTACCTAAACGGCTTCAGCTTTTGTCAAACAAGTATTTGGTGATTAATAGCTTTGCTTGGTCCACCTAACTCCTGCAGAGCTATCTGGCTTGATTGCAGCAGTGCTCTGAACGTAAGAAGCTTTCCCCACCCGTGGATTGCTGGAGACTGGAACACAAGCGTGACTCATAGGGGCTCCAGGGCTGAGTGCAAGTCCTTTGGTTGCTTGTGTTCTAGCTTTAGTATACACAACGGGTGCAAGTGAGTGCTTGCACGCGGAACAAGAAGACACTTGGGCTGTGCTGGCTCCTACGTACTTTGGTGTGCACTGCCCTCTTCAGCACAGAACTTGATAAAACCCTGTATTGCATAAAGCAGGTGAGGATAGGTTATGCTGGGTGTGGACCTTGCTCAGTTGCCACTAATCCTTGGAAAGGTCTTACTTATGTTGTGTAGTGATAAACCTGAGTTGGTAACTGATACTGTTCAGCCAATGTGCATGTCTGTGCCAGACAAGTAGTCCATGAGGTCACAAAGCTTCAAGCATGGTATTATCATTTACTCCATTTAAAAAAAAAAAAAAAAAGGGTTGCAGCAGGGAATTTTTTTAAAGGGTCACATAAACTCCACTGAAATTAAAAGCCCACTAAAAATATCTTTGTGGAAGGAATACGTTTTGGGAAATGACGAATGCTGTGTCAAAGGCAGCGTGAGGCTTTAGTTATGGCAATCTTCCAACACTCTTACTTGTCCCAGTTTTTGTTGTGAGGTTCATAGGGGAAGAGTGTTGGACACGGGGAGAGTGTGAAAGCCATAACCATCGGTAAAAGTTGAATTTTAACAACTGGAATTTAGTGTCAAATTATGCACCATTTTCTAAGAAAGTCCTGCAGCTAAATTGATACGCTGGAGTCCCTGATCATGCATGCTAGTGTTCTCAGATTCTCCAGCTATTTGGATGCAGTGGTGCAAAATTATATGTTGTTTCCTATATGATTCAGCTTAAAATACAAGCTTTGGCAGCGTGAGTACCTAAACAGTATTACAGTCAGCATTCCTTTATGCACACAAACAATTTCCTTTTGGGTAAGTAACATTGTACTGTGAAAAAGCACACAACTCCAGGGAGAGCATCATTTGATAGCATCTCCTGTGCCACAGTTCCCTGGGTTTGCCCCTCTTCCTCGCCTTGGATTCTGCTGTTTACCGAAACTTTAAGCCTTTCTGTACATTATCACTGGTTGGCTCTCTTGCACCACCTCATTGTTTTTTGCCGTTTCTCTGCAAATACATCTTCCTGGAAAAGGGGGACCAACAGTAAGTGTCTCTGGTTCCTGGCCAAGTTTCCACTGACATGGTTTCACTTGCTCTGTTGTGTCAAGTTATTTACATGCAGTGTTCTAAGGATGTAATTTAGCGGACTGCTAGTAAGCAGCTAACCTTTTTGTCTTGGCCCCAGTCCACATAGGTCAGGTTTACACAAGCCTGCTTCCTCACGATGAATTCAGTGGCTACTCTTAACAGCCCTTGGTTCCTGTTGCATGACTTTATGAAAAAGATAGCATTAGGCTGCTCTCAGAGCCTTGAGGAAGGACATGCTAGGATTGCTCACTTTACCTACTGAGTTGCATGAGCCAGAATCTCTTCTGAATCTTCTGCATACCCAAGACCTAAGGCTGTCGAGGTGAGAAGGTTACGTTTTTCATGCATTAATAGGTCTGATGTGCCACAATAGAGGAGAGGGTTTTCAAAACCAGCATAGAGGTGTGAAGCTCCCTATTTAAGCTGCCTAGCTCAAAGTACAGTCTTATTCTCAGGTTCTGGATTTCTGCATATCAGAGTTGTTTTGTATCCAGTAGAGCTGCCTTGGGCATGCATTCGCAGGAGTCGCGTTACCTGAGCTCCCTGCTTTGAGCTCTCAGAAAATACAGTTGCGTGGTGCAGAGCCTGCGGTGGCATTGCTGGTTGAAGGAGTTTGGTGTTATCTTTTGCTCCTTGCTTTCCTGTGCCACAGTACGCCATTCCCTTTCATGTGATCGCAATTATCTGCAAGGGCACAGTGAGCTATCAGTGTCTTAATCAGGGTGTTGACGCACCCTCCCTGCCCTGTGTACGCTTTTCAGTGACTCAGTGACCAGCGAAGCAGAGGAGGTTTGCAGTTGTGCGGCTTTCTAAAACGTGGATCGGGTTGGTGATATGGTTTAGAGAATTTGCAACATAGCACTAAAAATAGGTGGCCAGGTGCAGAGTGCAAGTAAGAAGTTCTTGGGCTTGTTCCTGAAGTCTCTGTCTCATTAAATCGTGCATCTAAGGATGCGTTTGACTTTGGGGGGGAGGAGCTGCAGCAGCAGGGTGTCCATTGTGCATGTGGATGCTTTTGTTAACCCTGTTTTTCTGCTTTAGGTCTCATGACCCAGTCAAATGTTTTGCTCTGTGTAGACTTCTGACCAGGCAGCGGGAGCTTGAGAAACCCTGACGTCTGTAAGCAGCACTGGTGATTGCTAGATGCAGTCCAGACAAATCCCAGTGGGAGAGGAGAGCTGGAGTAAGATGCGGACCAGTTTTCCCTGAAGTTTGGGGGGTTTTGACGGTTACAGAGAGTACCAATGTGTTCTCTTATGCTGGAACTAATTTCTTACATTTAGGGAGTAGTATTTACCCCTGCACACACTGCTAAATATCCCTTTTACATTTAATGGCAGAGTAGATCTGCAAAAAAGAGAATTGGGTACTAAAATGTTTTACATACGGTAGACAAAAAGCCTAGTCTCAGTTTTCCACGTCAACATTTTTACAGTGCTCCTGATATGAGTGAAGTCAGCTTCCTTACTGTGAACTCTTGCAATGCAAATATGATTTACTGCCTCCATTCTGATAATGGCGAATGTTGTCTGATGGGGACAATGTGGTGGCAGCTGCTTCAGAGTGATGTGCAGTGGCTTTGCTGTACTTGCTCTACTTTAGCGAATGTCAGCTAAAATAGTAATTGCGTCCCCTAAGAGTTAGATTATTGCTGCTGATAACCTTTGTGGAAAAACAAATGAGGGGAAGTAGAGGCAGATGCAATCCTCATATGATTTGGCAGAAAGGTGTTGCACAGCCAAGTGAGTACTACGTCTCACGGGGGATGAAGGGCAGTCGTGCTTTACTAGCTCATATCAGTGAGGTCCACTTAGCCTCCTGCAAATTCCTGCCCACTGAAAGCTCTTCTCATCTCCAGGGTAGATTGTGACTGGAGCAACCGCTGTCCCAGTGCTGCCTCCAGGAAACAAGTGGGTGAGGAAAGAGTTTATTTTAGTAGGTCCGATGAAAATAAATGAATTTGCTTACTCTTCATGATAAATAATCTAATTTATAAAATAATAATTTATAAATACCTGGAAATATAAGCATATGTGTATATAAAATGTATATATTTAAATATATACATTATTGTATATATTAATGAATATATTAATAATTCATAAACTCACAGTTTATAAATAAATTAATAAGCTGGGGAATCTCAGAAAAATAGAGGAGCTCTGTGTTGCCAACAGACTCCTGGGATGGAGTAGCTGTTCCCTCTTGAGAACAGATCAAACGTGACAGTCTGCTCCCCAACAAATACAGTTTGTGTGAATCATCTTGTTTTGTTAAAGTTTCTAATCATGTCTATCTTTTAAACTCTCATCCTTGAGAAGGTTATTTGTCTGTGGATTAACCTTGTCGTGAGTACTGAGGTATGTGACATGCTTGCCCATGGAATCAGGTATGTGTGGGGTCTCTCACAAGTTTCTGTCAACACTTAAGTGTTTCAGCTCTCCAGAATGGATAACATTGCTGCCATTCATTCTGATTGGCGTTGCAGCCTTGTTCACATGGGTTTGACGTATCTCAAATATCCTAGCCTTTTGCTATAGTCAGTTCTCTGTAATCTGAAGGTAAATTTAGGTACAAATCATGACAGCCAAGATGCTGGGTTTGGAATATGCCTGCCTCCCTGTAATATTCAGTCGTGCTCTCTGGTATGGGTGGATCTGCCGGTTGGGTGCAGTTAATTTACCAGTCTTACTTCTCCCAAAGGAAATGTGCACCCTGAATTCTCCCTGTGCTGTGGTAGTGCTTTACGTGCACAAGCTCCAGGTAATGTTCACCTCTGTGGGATGCAAAGGGATGGCTATCTCAGTCTTCCCTGAATTTACTGCTCAGTGTTCAGTGACGTAGCAGGGCATGCAAGGCGCTATTTTGCTGCTGTCCACCACCCACAAATGGCATTTGGTTCATTTGGTTTTGGTGACCCTTTTGTTTCTAGCTAACACATAGGTGTTAAGGGAGGTTTTGTACCAACATGCAGGTTTTCCAAACTTTGGGGTTTTTCCTTCTCTGTAGTATCTCCCTGTCACCTGTACATAGTACATCGCAGTCAGTGATCTGTCTGTAGGTTATGCCCTGATGTGTGTGAGCAGTCCTGGGATAATTCCCCACTTGTTCAGCCGCATGGAGCTGGTGATTCCGGTTGCTGCAAAATTCTAGCCATTGCATGCCATCATCATAAAGAAGAAAAAAGAAAGCTTCAAGGAAGGAGGCCTTCATTTCTTCTTGTCTATTGGGATGTCCTGAACAGCTCCAGAGCTGGTGCAGGGGTCTGATCAGATGCTGCTCTCCATCCATCCCCTGCCCTGGGTGGTGGGTCAGCAGCACCCTGTGGTGGAGGAGGTGAGGGGACACCAGTCTCAAGAGGTGCTGTCTTCTACCTTGTCACTTACTGTCCATGTGGCTTCTATGTCCCCCTTCGTGAAGCTCATTCCCATTCTTGTTTGAAAACAGCTGCTCTAATATGACCCTTTAGCACAAGTAGTCTTTAGATACAGGAGGCCAGGACGTGTCTTGGCGTGCCATCAGATGAACTTTTTTCAGGTCCTTATGTAGTTTGTAACAAAGGGGACGTTAATGTGGGCAAGGTCCAAGAAATAGTCTTGTGTGTGTGACCTCTGCTAAATTTGATAAAGTCTTCTCTTTAGTGGCACTGTGATCAGATATTCTTCCATGGCCCTATCGTGGTGGTCTTGCATTAGGGTTTTGAAATGCTCTGCTAAGTAAGAAGGCCCTGATGAGCTCACAATGTGAAGGTGGCCCTATGCTTTTTTTCAAGGGTCCTTCAGAGCAGGTGTTGGTGGGAAGAACATGTTTGACCCTTTTCCATTTTTTTTAGTAGATGTTTCAGCCTCAGAGAATCCTTGCATATTCTGTGTAACTTAACAATCAATTACATTTCTCCATTTTGTACAAATATGACCAGTTTTATGCAAAGGCATATAAATGACATTTCTTAGTAGGCATTTCTTCCATGTTTTATGTTACAGCTGCATGTATCCACATTAGATAAGTCAGGAATATTTGAATAACAGATGTTAAAATTGGGTCATAAACCACAAGAGTCACTGAGCTCAGACTTCAGAGGAACTGGATCCTCTCCTGGTACATTCACTGGGCAAATAATTTATACCTCAGAATCATGTTTTGCACTGGAGGACATCTGAATATTTCACTGCTGCTACTCCAGCATCTCTTACCTCTGGGACAAATTCTTCTCGTTCCCATTGAATCTCAGGGCGGTGGTTGGGGAAGAGATCTAATAACACTTTAAAGGTATGTGAAAGGTGCTCTCCATGTGCTGAGTTTCATATTTTTAACCTTTACATTTTTTAAATTTAAAGTAGCACCTTCCATTTCCTAAACTGATGACACCTGAAGATAAATAGATCTCTACAGCCAATTGCCTCCAATACGTCAAAGACAGAAGTGCCATTTTGCAGATACCCAGTGAAGATGCAGAAGCATGGGATTGCTGGGAACCAAGCAATCGCCACTAAAATACAATAGTGCCACAACTTGTCAGCAGGCTGAGCAAACCCAGCCCTTCTTACAATGTTGTGCCTACGGTGTTCTGTCTAAAAACTATTAGCCCTTGAAAAACTAGTTGACAACATTTTAAAGAGGAGAATCAAATACTTAACAGTACCTCTATAGGATTTTCCCCATTTTAATGCACTCATAAATGTAGCCAGATACCACTCCCACTTTAATAAAGATTATTTTGGAAGGCAGCTGTAGATAAAATGTACCTTCTTGAACCAGTTTTAATTACTCATCTGTTTTCGTAGCCAGTTTGTGGCATCAGTGGATATGTTCACATTTCTAAGTCCAAGACATAAAATGGCTTTGTGTTATTTCTTTAGAAAAGAGCGAAACTCATAAAAGGAGCCCTGATTTTCAAAATGGGAACATTAGATTTGCATTTTATTTTAAATAAAATGAATGCAATGCGTGTGCTTATACAGTCAACGTCCAGGCAGGGTTTGTGGTTTACTAACCCATCTGTTCTGCCTAGAGAGCAGCGAAGAGAACGCAGATTGTGTTAGCAGTCATAAATCCCTGTCTCTGTATCTTGTCCCCCATCGCAGACTCTCCTAGGGATGTGGCTGTAAGTTTAAACCTGGGAAGGGCAGAGTTCCCCCACTGCAGACCCCCTGGCACCTGCAATGCTGACGGGCAGGGAGGGTTTGGGTCCCTCTGTCTCCCCGGCTCCCCACCGCTCGGGTCGCACCTCTGAAGTCTTCGGTGCAGCCAAATACTACGTGGTGCTGCAAAATGCACGTCAGAGGTGTTGATCTCTGCTAGCTTTGAAATGAGAGAGGCTGCTCTAGCTGTAGTCCACTGTACTTGTGGGTCTCTGCCAGCAGAGGGTGGCTCTAAGACCGTTTATACATTGCTTTAACATTTAAACAGTTTACAGGCTGAATATGGAGCCTGATGACCTTAGTGCTTCCTTTATTTCCTAATACTCCATTTATCTTTAGTTAGTAATTGTAAGAAATTAAGATTTTCATTTGGGCTTTTCCTCACTGATTATTTTGCTTTGGCATTATTCTTCCAGATGAGAATAGCCAAACATTATAATTAAATTTAGGAAGACAGGTTTGAGATAATGTTACTATTGATTGGGACCTACTTCAGTCTAGGACCTAAGCATTTGAAATAAATAACTCTGTGAATAAGTTGTCAGCGTTCTAGCGTTTAATAGGGTTTGAAACCTGAGACATCAGTAGTGAATGGAATTCATCTGGCCAAGCGTCAGATACCTAAGAGATGCCCTGTGCTTAGTGCTTTCCTTACACTCCGTGGAGAGGACTGCGCACATGCTGAGGTTGATTTCTATACCTCTTAACCTGATTTAGGAATCGGTTTACAGAACACAAGCTAGCAGGAGCCTGATCCCAAACAACGTTTGCGCATGTATAATTATTCTCATGTGGAGTCCCACCATGTGCGACAGTTAATGACTAGACAGTTAATTATGTGAGTAACTATTATGCAGGAGTGGGCTCAATTCTCGTGCTTGTGTTACAGGGAGACTAATTTGTCTCCTGAGACGTCTGTTCCTTTCTGTTGGCTACAGAGGGAGCAGAGGTTAGACTAGCTCAAAGTTAGACTTCTAACCTACACATCTACCTGAGATACATCTCACCCACGGTGTCTACAGGCTGGTGTTACTAATATTGGGCAATACTCTGCCTCATCTTTAAAGGCCTGTGGACAATAGATTTTATGGATCTGATTTCACATCCAATGGCCTAAAGTGTGACAGTTACTTCTGTAATTAGTAGATAGGCATTAACTTCTCTGAAATCAGTGGAATTCCACATGGGACCAATTGCACATGTCTAAGTAGTTCAGGCTGTTGTCGACTGGAGATCTGTTAGGAAGCTGTACATAATAAAAGGTAGTAGTAAGTGATGATGGAAAATTTGTCGTGTTATAATAATAGTGATTTATATTCTCTGTTAGATGGTCTGTTGAGAATTCTCCTGCACATATTTAAGTAGTTTTAAAAGGTTTGAATAAAAATTCCTGTCAGTGATTTTAGTTTATTTACCACTCAGAACCTATGCTTTCAAAACAAAACTCCTATCTAAAGTTCTTTAATTTTCAAAAAAAACTGAGTATACCAGCAGTCTTCATTTTGAACTGTTCAGAAGTATAGCACAGGTGAGGCCTTAGTATCTACTAGGGTGGGTAACATTCCTCTCTGCAGAAATAGAGCAACCCAGTGACCAACTCAAGCAAAAGATGGAAGAGGCATCTTCCATAATGGCTACAATCAGCAGATAACCTCTGGCTTTCCCTTCCACAAAACACAGGCAATACCAGACACACGAGTGGGATTTGCATCCTCCTCTTCTGCAGGGATCAAGCCTTTTGAACCAGTTTCCAAAAACGCGTTCATGGTGCAAGAAGGGTATTTGGTGTATTTGAACACAGAGAAATGCCACAGAGAGAAATAAGGGATTAGAGGAACAGGGTCGGGAGGATAAGACAAGGTTATTGCAGACACGGGGGTGTATTCATGACACCAGCATGCGCTGTGGCTCTTCTGGAATGGTTTCCAGCCTACACCAGAGCGTATAGAGCTTTCTGCAGGATTTAGTGTGCCCAGTGCTTGTGCTCTGCTTGAGGTTAATTGTATGGAAAATCTTGTGTGTGATTCCTTGCTGTAATGACCTGTTAGTATACATATGGGCTTTCAAGTTATGGAAGTGACCCATGATTTATGAAATAGCCTCTTCCTGTTTGCAATGATGCAGTGAAATACTGAGTCATCTCTAACCCTTTAGCCTTGCCTGTACAGGCTTGTTGTTGCTTGCTACCTGTCCCCTAGGATTTGGATTGCTGGTACTGGACAAGAGTTTTTACCTGAACTAGGCTCAATTTTATCAGTTTTGGATGAATTACTGCCTTTTCCTAGAGAAAAGGTTTGAGCTACATCACTATTAATCTGAATTATAGTGAATTGCTAAAAAATGAGCTGTGTGTAGTTTAGGTTAAATTAATGAATTCTTGGTTTGGGGGATTAGTTACTTGCATTCACTGCAAGCTCTAGCTTTTGATTCCCTAAAGTGAGGTTAAATTACATCAGTGATTTAGCCCTTAACCTTTTGTCCTGGTTTCGGCTGGGATAGAATTAATTTTCTCTCTAGTAGTTGGTATAGTGTTATGTCTTGGACTCAGTATGAGAAGAATGTTGATAACACACTGATGTTTTCAGTTGTTGCTAAGTAGTCTTCAGACTAACTCAAGGATTTTTCAGCTTCTCATGCCCAGCCAGCAAGAAGGCTGGAGGGGCACAAGAAGTTGGGAGGGGACACAGCCAGGACAGCTGACACAAACTGGCCAGAGGGGTATTCCATACCATGTGACATCATGCCCAGTATATAAACTGGGGGGAGTTGGCCTGGGGGGGGGTCATTGCTCGGGAACTAACTGGGCATCGGTCAGTGAGTGGTGAGCAATTGCATTGTGCATCACTTGTTTTGTATATGCAAATTCTTTTTTTATTATTATTATTGTAATTTTATTATTGTTATCATTATTGGTTTCTTCCTTTCTGATCTATTAAACTGTTCTTATCTCAACCCACAGGTGTTACTTTTTTCCAATTCTCTCCCCCATCCCACTGGTTTGGGGGGAGTGAGTGGGCGGCTGCGTGGTGCTTAGTTGCTGGCTGGGGTTAAACCATGACACCTTTTCACAAAGGAGGCAAACTCTGCTTTGCTTTTGTTTTTCCATATGATGACCTTCTATACAGATCAGTGTGGGAAGGTCATCCTCTATTATCATCTTGATAAGAATGGTTTTTTGCTTTTTTAAACAGAGCCAAGCTTTAAAGAAAGTATGTCCTAAAACTGTATTGCAGGTCCGTAGTTATCAAGACCGAATTAATTCACATCTGTGATGCTATATCCATTGATGCCCTTACTCTCACAATCTAGTTCAATTCTTAACATGGTTTTGGTTCCATCTACTAAAATGAATACTTTCGGTTTTTGTGTAGTAACAAAACCCTGTCATCCAAAAGTCTATTTGCCAATGAATACCTGCCTCACAGATCACAGTCCCCTATAAATATCTTTTCTGCCATCTACACAAACCCTTCTGGTTTTGTAGAACTTGCAGTGATTTGTTTGTATACCCTAACTCTATGCCTTGAGTGTGGCATGACAGTAAACACTCCTGTCCCCAGCTTGTCCAGCATCTTGTAGGCAGCTTCCCACTTGGCATATTGACTTCTAGTGGTTTCTTCCCCAACAAGGTGTCTGGTTTTTGTTACATGCCAAGGCACCTAACTCTCCTCCCATAGCATAATGAGCCCGGGGGCTCACGAAGAAGTTCTGGATTCAGCTGGAAGGTAGCAGATTGTATTTCACTGCCTTTTGGAGCAAGCCCCTAATGCCATTGAAATCTCAGCAGTATGACATCTGACCCTTCAAGGGCTGAGATGGAGTAGGTGTCTGAAAACAGAACATAAATTCCTTCATCAGGTTCTTACAGTAGGATATTTTATCCTTTCTCTACAGAATATAGCAGGGGCTTAGGTAAAGAAGGTTGGATGCTCTTTCTTATTCAGGGTGGCTTAGTTTAGTTTAACTTTGACTCTGAAAACATAGCATCTGGCTGAAAAGCTGCATATTCAGCAGCTACACAGTCTGATGGGTGTACTAACAAATAGCTAGAGACCGCAGAGCTATGTTGTTGTTAATTCCTTTCTGCCAGTGAGACATTCTTGTTCATCTCTCGGACAGTATCATAAGTCAATTATTGGTCTTGCCCATCACTGGACCCAGCTGATAGAGTGTGAACTGGTGCGTAATCTATATATGCCAGTTGTATGGCCATCATGCCTTTCTAGAACCAAGTCTTTTTTAGGTATTATCCCACAGAGAAGGAAAGAAGATAGAATAAGCTAAATGAGGTAAAAGAGCCAACAATTTTCCAGATTTGAAATGCAGTGCCTTTGGATATTGACAATTTACAGTTGTTTTGTTAAGGCATGGAATTTTGCAAAAGCTTTTACAAGGAAAATACGGATGATGGTTTTTCTTGTGGAATATTTTAATGGCTATGCTCAGCTTTCCCAGTGGGA